CATGCAGCAACTTCTCCCTCGCGCGCTGCCGATCGTACCACACGAGATGGAGCGAGTGTTTTGCTTCGCGGCGATCTACCTTGGGTATCTCTTGTGTTTGAACGAAACCTTGAATAGTAAGATCATTCACAATGCCCCGGACGTCTGCAGCCGACATCATCATGACGTTGCACATGGCTCTCTCATCCAGTCTACCCTTTTTGCGCAGGGCGCGTACGAGCTTAACTCCCAACGAACCTTTGCGTGCCGAGATGGTGTTTTCGAGTTCCGTTTGTATCATCTGGCGGGCGATTTCGTCAAACTCAATGTGCCATTGTGAGAAGCCAGCACGAGAATGCCAGGTAACGAAGTGGAAGGGATCTTCAGCCAACATCTGGATGTGTTTATCCACCACCTTGGTCCTCTCTTCCATGTTCAGTTTTGCGGGATCGGTCGGATGCGTCCAGACGTTTGTGCGGTTGACATGCCCTTTACGGGTGATTTGCACAGCGGCGTTGGGGTCGATGCCCTCGAAGATATCGAGATCACCACGCTCGCGGCTAAGCTTCGTCGCAACGTCGCGCGCGGTTACAAGAAAGCGAGGGTCAATCGAGGCGTCGCCAGATTCGCCGCCGGGGAGAGGTGGATCGGGCCATTCTTCCCAGCACCGGGGTGTCTTGGATTCGAGCATGCGCAACATGGTTTGGTACACACGCGCGGTGACGGATCCCAGACGTTGCTCTACGAGGTGTACAAGCTGCTCCGACCGCATGGCGACTGCAATCTTCTCCGGGTTGACGCGTATGACAAGATCGTCGTCGGATGAGGGAGTTGCGTAGCCATTTGCGCCGTTCATCTTCATGCGCTTGTTGGCGCCGTTGGGTTGTCCGCCTTTTGCGAACTTGGGGACCGTGAGCCATTCGTCACGCATTGCCCGTTTACGTTCCAGGGTGCCTCTGTTAACGACGTCTTTGTCTTTGGTACCGGTAGGTGTGATGCCTGCGTTGTCTTGCTCAATGGACTCTTGGTAGAGCATGTCGTGCATGTCACCTGGGGACAGGTATTGCGTTTCGGTAACTGTCCTGACCCACCCACGCTCTATCAATAGCTGTATGAGCTCGTATAGCTCGTCGACAGAGGTGATGTCGCTGCCATCCTGCTCTTGCCCAGGCTCTTCTGGCGCGCCGTTGTGGGTTATGCTGTCGACCTTTGAAGCCTTGTCGGCCTTGTGTACGCCGTTAGTTTTTCCATGGCCGTTTGTGAGGTCTGGCTTTGCGTCGTCCAACTCGGACGGCATGCCGTTCGCGACGCCATTTGTCTTCACTGTTCCGTTGACGTGGTTGCCGTTGGTCCGTTTCCGCTTGGAGCCTGCGCCGTTGGCAGTGCCGTTGTCTGAGTCATCGTCGCTTTCGGTTTCGGGCGGGAAGTAAGCTTCCTTCAAATCGGCGATGCGCGTGTGGCCGAGGGCAAGCAGGTTGGACATGACATTTGCGGCTTTCTTGCCGAAGCGGTCTTCGACCAGTTTGACAACCTTGCCGAAGCGGACGATTGCGTAGGAATTTTGCCAGTCGATCTCATAGTAGGTCAAGGGCGCATCGCTGCCGGAGTGGAAGATGAGGTGCTGCTGGAGGAGGATGACAAGGCCGTACTTGATCTGTCGCCCGTTCAAGTAGGAAGCGCGTGCGATGGATGCGAGACTTTGGCGCCCATGACGCGCGAGGATTGAATAGACGCGCTACGAGTAGTTAGAACAGTGTGGTTGAATGCGCCCGTCGCATGCCTGAAGTAGGAAGATTTCTGCGCCTGAGCGCGACAATGCGCGGAAGATAGTCGGGTCAAGAAGATTGTTCGGTCAGACATACAGCCGCAAGTTCACCGTAGACATCCTCGACCAGGAAGGTACAGAGTTCAGCAAGGACCTGGAGGATGGTTGGTTATGATTCATTCGTCTGGCGCATAGGCGCGGCGGCGTCGCATCTTACCGGAGTCTCTCGCTGGTTGTAAGACATGTTTGGGCCTAGATATTTGCCAGATATCTAGGATGGAGTAATGCTACCGTGGAGACATTGGTGGGCGCGTCTTGGTTGCTGTCGAGGAAAAGTGATGGTGCGGCCTCGAATAGAAATGGAAGGGTGGGGTCGTTCGTCTCCAAGCTCCGGCCAATGGAGGATTAGGCTTAAACACTTACGTCTTGGCAGCCGCTCTAACTTTGTGACGATTATCCTCACCACCAGACATCTCCGACTTGCTTCCATCCATTGCCGTCCCCCACACCCGAATCAGCCCTCCGCCCGGCGCCTTCCACACGATGCTCTCCCGAACGACCGCCTGCCGGGGCGCGCAGCGTGCCGCCCGCCTGCCGCCCGTCTCCCAGTGCCAGCGCCGCGGACTCGCTGCCCCAGCTTCAGGCTCCTTTCAGTACCAGTCCGGCGAGGCCAAGGGCGTCAAGTACGCCAGCAGAGACTTTGCCGGCCCTACGACGACGCTGGCCCTGGTTGCAAAGGCCGGCACGCGCTTCCAGCCGCTGCCAGGCCTGACCGAGGGTCTTGCCAACTTCGCTTTCCGGGTACGAATATCTTGTCCGGCAAGAAAGCATCCAAGAGCCAACTGACGCTCTGGAACTAGGGAACCGAGAGACGGTCGACGCTGCGCATTGTCCGCGAGTCGGAGCTTCTGGGCGCCAGCCTCAACGCCCACCACTCGCGCGAGAACCTCGTGCTCGAGGCCAAGTTCCTCCGCGATGACCTGCCCTACTTTGTCGAGCTGCTCGGCGAGGTCGCCAGCTCCACCAAGTACCAGCGTATGGACCTTGAAATGACTCAATGGAGATGGAATTGACACAGCACAGCCCACGTCTACGCCGAGGAGGTCCTCCCCATGATCAACTTCGCCCACAAGAAATTCCTCGCCAGCGTCACCGACATGGCCACCCAGTCTGCCCACAGCCTTGCCTTCCACCGCGGCCTCGGTGTCCCCACTGCCTCGGCCGCGCCCACGCCCTACACCAAGTACCTCGACGCCGAGACCATTGAGTGGTACTCCAAGATTGCTTACGCAAAGCCCAACTTTGCTGTTGTAGCTAACGGTGCCGACCACGGCGAGTTCTCCAAGTGGGTCGGTGAGTTCTTCGAGAATGTGCCCAGCGCCCCTCTCCAGGAGTCCGGCATCGGTGCCGACCAATCCAAGTACTTTGGTGGTGAGGAGCGTATCGCGCACGACAGTGGTAACGCCATGGTCATTGCCTTCCCCGGCTCAAGCTCCTTCACCGGCAAGTTCTACAAGCCTGAAATCGCTGTCCTCAGCTCGCTGCTTGGTGGAGAGTCGGCCGTCAAGTGGTCACAGGGTTTCACCAAGCTCGGCCAGGCGGCTGCTCAGGGCGCCAAGGTCAAGACCACCAGCGCCATCTACTCCGACGCCGGCCTCCTCTACACCACCATCACCGGATCTGCCAAGGCTGTTGCCCAAACCGCCCAGGCCTCTGTTGATGCTATCAAGAAGATTGCCGCTGGTGAGATCTCAAGCGAAGAGGTGTCCAAGGCAAAGGCCGCTGCCAAGTTCAAGGAGCTCGAGCACGGCCAGGACATCCGCGCTGGTCTGGAGCTCACCGGCAACGGTTTGATCCACAACACTCAGCCGTACCAGATCGACGAGGTTGCTAAGAAGATCGATGGCGTAACAGAAGAGGCTGTCAAGAAGGTGAGTTTCTGCGACATCATTTCCAATGTACTACGTGCTAACAAGACGTTCAGGCCGCCAAGGAGCTCCTCGAGAACACCGCCTCCGTATCGTCCGTCGGTGATCTCTTCGTACTACCGTACGCTGCGGATCTCGGCCTCAAGGTGTAAATACAGTGATTATGTAGCGCAGTTAGATGGAGAATCTCGTTTGTGTAACATTATCTTGTGATAGTCCCTGATAGATGCGATCTCGTATGAGAGTTCTTTTGTTCGAAAACAGTCCAAGTTATGCTGTGCCTGCGTGAGACAACCTGTGGCATTTCTCCTTGTACGATTGATGCTGCTCACGTCTGCCACGTGCCAGCGCGTCAACGCACGGACCAAACCGCCCAACATCGACGTCAACCCAAACACGTCTCACTGCACATCTCACAACAAGGCACCCCCGCCCCCACCCCCACCGCCAACAGCCCATTGCACGTACCACCTGGCAGCCAGATACAAAGCTCTCTTGCAGTGTGCTTCAGAACCTACTATGGCGCCAACTCTGTATCCTCGCGCCACCGTCAAGAAGATCGTGAAGGCGCATTCGAACCGGCAGATGAGCAAGAACGTGGATATACTGGTACGTCTGATGGATACAGGTGAACCGAAGAGGAACGGAAAGCCATGCAAGAAAACAAGACTGACATGCAACACAGATCTACCTCAATTATGCGTTGTTCATGCAAGAGTACGTACCGACCACCTGACAATATTCCACTACGTGATGGCGACACGACGCCCATACCTTGCGATACGATACGCAATGTGATTGACAGCGAGGCTGCTGAGAGATGAAGGAAATAGGAAAGAGAAAGCGGGGAGAATTGGGTTGTGTCGCCATGGACGTTCGAGGGAAATACAGTGGAAAGGGAGACGTGGGCTGACGCGCATTGACAGACTCATCAACGAAGCAAGTATCAAGAGCAAACAACGCGGCGAGAGGGCTTTGTCGGCGAGGAGCGTGAAGAGGGTTAGTGAGAATGTGTTGAGGAAGTACAAGGGCTAGGGTGACGCAGGCTGGATTGAGCATGTGCTGGATCCTTGAATGAGCGAACCAGTATCTGTTGGTGTATCTCGGCTGATGGATCGGACGAGGGTGTACTTGGCGTTTTAGGGAGAGATTGGTTGCGTTTTCAGGATACCCGGAGAATCACTGCTGGCGTTCTGGGAATAGTGGTTCATTGACTTGTCCACGCTATCGCACCATCCACATTCGAAGTGGTTTTACACCACCGAACATACATTCCAGCTGTCTGATCAGAACTTTACACGATACTGAGCCGCTTCCCAAGGCGCATGTTAGTCCTTCAAGGCTTTTACCACTTCTTCTGCGCCACGCTTCCCAGCTGTGATAGCAACTTCTAGATAGCCCTTCCACTCGTATGCGGTCTCACCACCTACGAAATGCAGGTTTCCAAATGGCTCGCGTAGCGCTCGGCCATGGGTCCTCAACATCCCCGGTCCCATAGCACTAGTAGGTGCACCATCAAGATACGGCTCCTTGGTCCATTCGACAGCATTCACCTCGAGGACGTCTCGCGCTTTGTCAGCTAGTTCAGGTCCGACAAAGGAAACTAGGTGGTCGATGAGCGCCTCCTTACGACTCAGCTCGCTCAATTGGTGCCAAGCTGCGGCAGTATCACCAGCAACAAACAAAGCAAGCGAGTACTGCTTTGTCGCATCGTCGCTGATATCCCAATAGAAGCAGATGGGGCCTTTCATGGACATGAACTTGCCCTGAAGGCCTGCGTCTTTCCACCACGACGAAGTATACGTCACAATGACTTTTGCATAGATACCCGGCTTCGTACGCGTTACGAGGGCTCTCTTCGAATGGGGTAGTGGAGGGCTGAATCGAATGTTCGTATATGTGTTGGTGGGAATAGCAAGAATGACCTTCTTTGCCTGATATCTCGTTCCGTTTGAAGTGGTTACTTCGCAGACATTCCCGTACTGCGTGATGCTGTCAACCGGAGCATTGATCTGTACAGATCCGGGCTCAATAGCACCTGCTAACGCAGTCGCAATAGCGGATGTTCCTTGTTTGATCTTTAATGCTTGCGCTCCCCCTGGACCATCGGTATTGATGCTCGCGAAGCCGCCGGCTGACTTGACGTAATCCAGGATATAATGGATCCCACACTCGTGGGGTTCGCGACCAACCCATGCCATGGTGAGGAACCTTGCAAGGCCCTGGAGTAAAGCATCGTTATACAGACCTTTCGTAGTCAACCAATCCGAAACACTGATGTCTTCCTCTTTGGGAAACGATTCAAGGCTGTGGATATCTGTCTCCTCTGCGGCCAGGGTTAAGGTTTCCACGAGCTTGCGAAGTCTCTCTGCCAACTCTGGGTTTCTAGTCTATCTCAAAGGATCAACATTAGTCTCATCTCCAGGTGCTTCATTCAGATCCACAGGCCTTATCTTACCTCTGGCAGGCTCGTACTGGCCCGTACAAAACTCCCGTCATGCAGCTCCCATATCACATCACCCTGAAGGTATTGATCCTTGCAGTCGAGTCCAAAACGCCTCGTCAGCTCATAAACGGTTGGTTGTGTGACCTTGTTAATCCATGTCGCACCCAGCTCCACAAGTCCAGGGCCACTTGTCAGCTTCTGCGTGCGACTGCGACCGCCGATACGATGCTTGGCTTCCAAGAGCATGACGCTGAGACCAGCCTGATGGACATCGTATGCTGCCATGCAACCTGAGAACCCACCACCAATGACGACGACATCGACTTCTTTAGCATTCGATGGCTGACTAGTGCCGTCTTCCTCAGCAGTCCAGAGCTGTGCGAGGCCTCCGACACACACCACTGCTTCAATCTCGAACTTGGCTTATGGAAAAGCAAGTCTCGGGACTAGAATGAGAGTCGTGGTGGGTTGCAGGGGAGTCCCACCGTCGCTAATTGCAAGTAGCGAGAGAGCAGCAAACAGTTCCTCATGCATGTTCAGGCTCCAGTCGACGATGTAGAACGTCAGCTTCACCATGTCCTTGGCTGAGGTGTCAGCTGCTCTGACCACGTCGAGGAGATTTTTGGCTGGTAGAAGTGCCTGTTCCCCGAATGCACTGGGGGACAAGCCATCGCTATGCTGGCCCAGCTGAGATCAAAATGTATCGAATCTAAATGTGATCATGAGCGCTTGAGTGATGACCATTAGTGATGCGTTGGTCCAGAGACTTTTATATGCGTTTTGTAAAGCCGACTGCTGGAGTCACTGTAGTCTATCAAGCTCCGTTAACACTTTCCATCGGCCTACTGGTGTATCAATCGCAGGGAAGTCGCAGTCCTCTGTATTTTCCATCACGACGGTGATTAGTTTCAGACCTTGGCCTTCGGCTTCCTTGAACAGTCTTCATCGTCATTACGACGGGAAGTTTGCAAACAGTCCTGCGACCATGCCAATGCAGAGCGAAGGTTGTCGAAATCGGACCGAGGTGTAGCTTTGAACAGCATACAGAAGCCATGAATCGGATCACAAGTGGTATAGGCTTTGGGAGGTTTTCATAGCCATATACCATATTTTTGCTGCCCCGCGGAATCAGAGAAAAGGGCCGACAGCATCTTATCTAGCCGCGTTCCAGTATCTAGCCGCTGTATCGATAAGCATCTAGCCGCTAATTATTCTCCTTAGGCCCCATCTGAATGTCTGTACTTGCTTGGACACCACACGCAGAACCCACTTGTCGAAGAATCGCGCTCCTATATCGTATGCCAATGCTAAATGGAAACGCGCAGCGCCGTCCCTACAACCAATTCTTTTACGGAAGCATTACGCAGACCTAGCCGCAACTTTCCAAGGTCCACTTCTGGGTGTCTTACGTGTAGACAACGGAAAAAGAAATGTGACGAACAACATCCAACTTGTTCTGGCTGTTTGCGCAGCCATGTGGCGTGTCGTTGGCCTGCTCCCTCTGCGTCCACGCGATCGCCCACTCCACTGGCTACAGGGATGCGCCTCAAACAACAAGAACTCCGCCAAAGCTACATCAATACGGAAGCTATCGCTGTCTGGAACTTGTCACGCCTCACTTTCCTGAGCCCAGAGCGTCCATGTTTTCTGACCAAGATATCTGGAACTTTGCTCGAGCACTACGTCACCCGGACGGGTACTCACCTCGTACCTTTCCCACCCTCGTGCAATCCCTTTGTGCGATTGCTATTGCACATGGCGATTGCCGACGACCTTATCATGCATAGCATCCTCGCTCTCAGTGGAATTCATTATTCAGGGTACGATAACATCGAAGAAGGGCTTGTGTCGCGTGCAACATGGAGTCACTATCAGAGATGTCAACAATCAAGCCAATCAAGCTGAGCTAGCCTTATATAGTAAGCTACTAGCCTATGTAAGCTAGACTCCTACTAAATATGGCTAGCTCAGCTTGATTGGCTTGATTGTTGACATCTCTGGTCACTATGCCGCCGTCGTTCGCAGCCTGCGGACAGAGCTTGCGTCTTTCGGAACCGGCCTCGAAGATTCTATTAAGACTTTACGCCTTCTTGTTGTTCTCATCATACTATGTCATTATGAGGTATGTGAATAGATGCTTCCATGCATGCTTCTCATCCTGCTGTAAACCTGCTAACACCAGGCTCGCTTTGCCTTTGAAGGTGATATCTGGCGACACCCAAGGAAAGATGTTTCAGCATCTTCGTGCAAGCAGACAACTCATCCTGTCATTACGGGTTTACTCACGGAGTCTACCCACTGACTCTTGCCGTCAACTGTTTGGCTTTATGTGTGAGCTATACGCATACCTCGTCCTTGCCAATACTTTGACCCCGCATGCTGCCATCCAAGAACGCACCATAGTCTTTGATTCGTTCATCATTCACCTCGATGAGATTGGTGAGTCTGTCTATCGCGGCATTATGCTTGGAGGCTTACATGGCCTGTTGGAACTCATACCGTTGATCTCAGTATTTGCTGCCAGTCGGTTGAGAGAAGATGCTGTCGAAAGTGACAGCGTCGCACAAGATAGGGGTGGTGCGGCAAAGTCTCGACCTGTCTTGTTGGACACGTACAGGATACTTAAAGCTCGGATAGACGGTTGGTCTTTGCCTCCCTTATCGGAACAAGCAAGCGATTCAAGCATTGTCGCACCCACGACTTGCGCAGCAGCTATCAGAAGTCGGTACAAAGAGTGCCGCATAGCTGGAGAAGTCTATCGCCACGCCCTTTACATTTACCTGTCTTCTTCGATGGCTGGCCAGCTATGTACAGATCAAGACGTTCGTGCCTCGCTCCACACGCACGCATGCGCCATTCTGGATCTTGTCACGACCCTCTCAGAGCTATCATTTGATTACACCATGCTCTGGCCTGTCATTATCTGTGGCTCATGCTTGACATCCAAGTCACGCCAGGATTTTCTGCTCGCAGCTCTTGACTTTTCTCGATGCCACATGGGTCATATGAAGACAGCGTCGAACTTGCTGAAGTTGCTGTGGGACGATCCGGATCCGAGGGCTTTTGGTTCTTATGGATTGTATTTTGTTATAGAAAAGTATAAGATCAACTTTTGTGCGATATGATAGATAAAGCGTTTACTACCTGTGGGCAACGAACTAGACTTGACACTCTGTCCTAAGCATTGGCGCACGTTCTACCTTATACTCTTCATGGGCTGATATTGGCAGGCTCAAGAGTGTAGGTCGTATTAGAGTTAGTCGCTGCGATGCGATAGGGACCGCATTCACTTGATCCGCACCCTCATGTGTTACACTCTTATCTCTCAACAACAAACCCTTCCCAATCCGGCATTGCAGCCCTGCACGACCTGTCATACTCGACCAAGCCTTTCAGATAATTCAACATCTCTCTCTTCTTCCCAGGGATGTTTGCACCCATATACCAGCTGTCCGCATCCTCGAACACCAACATCTTGCTCGTTACTGCAATGTCATCTGCCCATGCTTGTGCCGCTTCAGGGGTGGCATCAAGGTACTTGATCTTTTCCTCCCGCACCTTTTTGAGCATGTCCACAACGATGTCGACCTGAACCTCAACTATCGTTGGTCCGTTACCTAATGCAGTTGGCGCTTCATCGCTGTTAGCTGTATCATCTCGCTGTTTGAGCGATGCAGCTTACCTTGAGGCCCGTATACCATCCACATATTAGGATAACGAGGAGCCGCCAAACCCAGATGCGTTCGAACACCATCCTTCCACTGATCCATCAATGTTTTCCCATCAGTTCCTTCGACGCCCATGGTAGAGAATGCGCCTGTGTAATTGTCGAAGCCTGTCGCCAGTACGATGATATCAAGTGGTATCTCTTCCCCTCCAACTTGCAAGCCGGCCTTTGTAAAGGTCTCAATAGGCGTCGCTTTCAGATCCACAATTCTGACATGATCCTGATCGCACACCTCGTAGTAATCCTGCTCAAGACCATTCCGTTTCGCTATGATGGGATGTGGTGGCTCGAGAGGCGCGAGGATATCTCGCTTCACTGGGTCCTGAATTCGCGCACGCGTTTTCCGGGCCCAGTAGTCGTATACCATGCGATTGTCTTTGTGATCGAACAAAGCAGAGGAAAAGTTTCCACCTGCAAAGTTGAAACCGCCGCGTTGATACAGCTCTTCGAGAAACTTCTCTCTTTCCTCTTCCGATAGCATCTGCGGTGATGGAACAGGTGGTGGATTGTATGGGAATCCGCTGAATGAATTTCGAGCAGCGGTCCTCAGCACGCTGTTCAAAATCCCCTTGAGCGAATCTTGCTCCTCCAAAGAGAGTTTCCGCTGTCTCATAGGAAGTGCCATGTTTGGCGTACGGATCAAGGCCACGAGCTGTTTAGCTTCTCTTGCCATCTCCGGCACGATCTGCAGAGCTGTTGAGCCGCTTCCAACGACTGCAACTCGTTTGCCGTGTGTGTCCACGCCTTCCTTCGGCCACTTGCTAGAGTGTAATAGCGTTCCAGTGTATTGGTCGAGGCCCTCCCATGTTGGCATATGTTGCTTGTAAGTCGAGCCAGTACACAGCAAAAGGTGCTTGCAGGTAGCCACATGGCCTTGTTCAGTCTGTACTGTCCAACGACCGAGCTCGGTATCGAAAGTGGCCTTGTTTACCCGTGCATTGAACGTGCAGTCTTTGCCAATGCTGAGAACTTTGTCAACATGGTCGAAGTATCCTTGCAATTCCTGCCACCCGGGGAACCGTTCAGACCAGGTCCATGTTTTGTATACTTCTGGGATTGAAAGCTGATAAAAGGGAAATTCCGAGTCGACTCGAGCTCCGGGATAGGTGTTGTTGCTCCATACACCGCCTAGCCGCGGAGTGCCTTCGAACAGATGGATTTTGAAACCTTCAGCCCGTAATCGCCATACTGCATACACACCACCGAATCCTCCGCCTACAATGAGGATGTCAGTATCAATCGCTTTGCTGGTCGCCATGGTGTCTTGTTCTCTGAAGAATTGGATCTTGACAGGAATTGGTCGTGCATCAACCTGCAATATATGCTACAAGTGTGGCAATGACCTGTACGCCCTGTCGCCCCACGGGCCCCTCGATACCCAGGCAAACATGTCAATACAAAGTGCCGAGGTTATTACCAGAACTTTTAATCTACTGGTATCAAGTCGCTGGGCGTAAGGCATCCTGTTGCATCGAATCGTCTGACATTCACGCCCCGTAAGCACCACCAACGACTGTAAGGCCTGCTTCCTCGAAATGATCATCGCATGTATTGCCGAATCGCGCATGTCAAGGGGCTAAATGACACTTTGTGCCGTGTTTGCATGATCGATGCAGCGATAGCGGATAAGGCTGATGCAGGTGCTACATTTCCGGTGATGGGGTCAGCGCTAAGCTGCCAGATACCGGAACGGATCTCACCCCATGCCCAAGAAGTATTCCCCTCTGTTAGGTCTGAGGTACCTTGAAAGCGATGATGATTGGGTAGATACGCTCAGCCGCTCGTTAGGGCGGATGCTAGGTGCGGGGTAAAGACGTAAAGACCCAGACTATGCATTGAAGGAAGTCGTCTTCAGAGTATGGAAGATACGAGATATAAGCTAGGTGTATCATTCAGCGACATGAAGTCGTCGTCGCAAGGCTTTCGGCCTTTGGAGTAATGACTTCGGTATCGGTTCATTGATATCAGATGAACGACACAGCCTCGCGCTGAGCTCGCGGAGGTTTTGGAAGTTCACAGCATCGCTACTGGTGGGAAAGCGCAGGGCTGTCCTTAGCTGTCTTGGCTGAAACGTCACCCGCTAGGTTAGGCGGGATCTGTGCGCAACATTTGATTAGATGCTAAACTCGAAGAAATCACCTTCGTTACAATGTTCAAATACTGATCATTACAAGTTAGCACAGAGGTTTGTCCGGATGGTATCCAGTCAGTTCACCCCGGTGAAGATACCCCGGCTTGGTTGCGCATCAGCACGAAGTTTCGCCATGACTGGTGTATAGGTGTGGTCGGTCCAGTCCGAGCAAAACTGATCGAGGTATAAAGGGCGTCTAGTCGCAGAGTATAGTTGTAACAACGAGTGCACAGTCTCGGATATCCATAAGCTCTTTGATCATATGCAAAAGTAACCCGAGACAATGAAGAGATTCTTTCATGTTCTCCTCTCTGCTGCGGCGTGTGCAGTAGCATCACAAGCAACAAAGCGGCAATCCTCACCTCGACCGATGGAAAACCTTGGGCGAGGTATCGTCGCTGTTCGTGCCCAGAACGACAGCGCTTTCATCAGCTGGCGACTACTTGGTCTTGATCCAGAAGACATCGCTTTCAATATCTATCGCTCAACTGATGGCGCCAACGCGACGAGGCTCAATCCAGAGCCTCTTACTGGCGGCACAAACTATCTCGACTCCGGACCTGATCTCAGCCGATCTAACGAATACTGGGTACGGTCAGTTATCGATGGGAATGAGCGATCATGTACCAATTCGAGCTACATACTCCAGGCTGATACGAAGCAAGAGCCGCTTATACGTGTTCCCATCAGATCAGGTGATCAGATCAAGTACGTGTGGGTTGGCGATCTTGATGGAAGCGGCGAGTACGGTTACCTTGTTGACAGACATGGCGTTCAGCAAAGCTTTGAAGCCTATCGCAGCAACGGTGAATTCCTGTGGGAGGCGGGTATGGGGCCAAATAGCAAGAACCAGAACAACATCGAGCCGGGATCAGCAGCCATTGACGTCGGTCATTGGGATGGCTTGACCGTGTACGATCTCGACAGCGATGGATTCGCCGAAGTCATCGTACGCATAGCGAATGGTGTTGTATTTGGCGACGGGGCCATATTTGACGAAGGCAGCAACGACGACGAGCAATTCATCGCTGTTCTAGACGGCCAAACAGGTGCTCTTCGCGCATCAATCTCTATTCCAAATGACTATATAGAGCACGGCCCTTTCGCCGCACGTTTGGGCATCGGTTACCTCGACGGCACCACACCGCACATTGTAGGCTTCATGAAGAACCGCCGTGACGACAAAGTCTTCAACCGTATCATGGCCGCATGGACCTTTGACGGCATCAGACTCAACCAAAAATGGATCTGGGACGACCAGAACGCTGGAGCAGGATCTGACGGACACAACACGCGCATTCTTGATGTCGACGGCGACGGCGTCGATGAGGTTGGCGAGATTATGTTCCTCCTTGAAGGAAACGGAACCATGCGCTACTCGCTCACAGACTCAGGTATCGGGCACGGCGACCGCTGGCAAGTCGCCAAGATCGATCCAGAAAGATCGGGTCTACAGGGTTATGGCGTCCAGCAAGATAACCCATCCAAGTTGTGGGAGTACTACTACGACGCACGTACAGGCGAGGTACTATGGAAGCACTACGGTGACGCTGTCGGAGATATTGGTCGAGGCATGATTGGCGATATCGATCCTAATCATCCCGGCATGGAGTCCTGGAGTGCAGGCGGAAACGGACTGTACAACGCGCCCAGCAACTCCAGCATCACCAATAGTAGCGAACTCGCTCCCTGGGCTCATCTGGGTCTCTGGTGGGACGGTGACGACACAATGGAGCTGTACAACGACGGCAAAGTGGAAAAATGGAACCCAGAGGCTCCTACTACATCTTCCTCGCTACCCCGCTTGTTCCGCATCAGCGATTACGGTGCAGTGAACCCTGGTGACCCCAATCCAGCTTTTCTAGGCGACATATTTGGTGATTGGAGGGAAGAGGTCGTCACAACGAATGAGGATATGAGTGAGCTGATTATCTTTACCACTGATCAGCCGACGAAAAGGAGACTGTACACACTGGCGCACAATCCAAATTACCGAAACGGTATGACGCTGAAGGGCTATCTGCAGAATGCCCATGTAGATTACTTCATTGGAAATGGCATGGAGACACCACCGCAGCCGAACATTCGGTACGTAGGCGTCTGACTTCGATGATGGAAACTTTCGACAAAGATGGTTCCTGCCTCGGAGGATAGGCGGAGTCTTATTGCAACTCTTGTCATTTCGAGTGCGGCTGATGAGCGCTGATATGAGATAGAAGGATACAAGTCCAGAGCGAGATTTTGGGAACCCAAGGTCACGTAACGGGTAGCAGTATGAATGAAGACCATATGATCTGTGAGATACTAGGTTATGAAGAAGAGAGAGCCATTGTTCGAGTTTGAAGTTCCCGCACGGATCGTCTCGCCTAGCCAGCACGTCCCACGATCTAAAACAAGTTGACGGTCTGATCCATGACATTGAGCTGTGAGAAGTGCTAAAAGAAGATTGAGGCTATTGTAGCAGGAAATCACTGCAGGTTTACCATCAAAACTGATCCTAGCTTGAGATCGCCAGCAACCTACTCAATACGCATCTACACGCGGTTCAGGCGCCCATCACGTGGCCGCGCGAGTTGCAGCCAGAATTGTGCCTCGCCTTCCAGTCCCAGGGATACGAGAATGACATGGTCTAGGACCAAATGCCTAGGTACAGGTACGGCGCTCATGGAGCGCAGCGAGCCGTGCCGGTATGCAACTGCGTGCGAAACCAAAACGGCCGAGTACACAGCGCCGAACGACAAATTTAGCTTGCTAAGGCGGGGCACGATTGAATTTCAGGAGTCTTCGCTAGCCACGGACCAAGTACACGAGCTACCTCGTAATCACAAATTGTGAGAGGACTGTCATGCGTTGCGCACCCAATATAAGTATGCAAAAAGTCGCTGTTGCTTCCACCTTACTCGTCTTTCGATTATCGGGTAAGGCCACAAGATAGTCGTTGGCGACACAGTCGTTTCACTCAACCACATTCTTTAGTCTGTATTCAGTCATGCAGATTTACATTCGTTACATGCATATTGCATTTTCTTTGTTGTTATCATCTGTACCCCAGACCTCTGCCGCGCAAGATGGCCTTCGTCCTGAGCGCGTGGCCTCGCCACAACTGAAGAACATACATGCCGAAGATTTCGAAAGCCTTGACAAACGCCAGAGCAACGGGACTGAGAATTCGCCTGTCTTCTTCAGAGACAACAATGTCTGGTACCGGGATTCGAATGGGCGAGAGGTGCAAATGTCGACAACAGGAACGGAAGATAGTCCCTTCAGCAACATAACGTACCCCTCACCGGACAACGAATTTGTCGTCGTATTCCAATCTACGCCCGCCCAGGATCACATCGTGTACGAAGTCGAGTCGAGCCCTTACGACCAGCTGCAACCCCGCTTGCATCAATTCCAGTACCTTAAGCCTGGTGACAATGTGACCATTGATCGGCCTCGAATGTTCGATTTGACGAACAAACGCGAGGTTGCCACGGACAATACGTTATTCGAGAATCCATACCAGATCTACTCACTGGATGGTGGGTGGAACGTGGAAGGCACCGAATTTCGCTTCATTTACAATCAACGGGGACATCAGGTTGTGCGTATAGTTGGCATGAGTACTAACGGACGTGTGCGCGCCCTAGTAGAGGAGAAAAGCGATACCTTTGTTGATTATTCACAAAAGCTCTACTACAAGGAGCTCAAGAGTTCAAATTCAAGCGAGTTGATTTGGGCCAGTGAGCGCGACGGTTGGAATCATCTCTATCTGTACGACATGGAAAGCGGGAAAGTGAAAAACCAGATCACGGAAGGAGAATGGGTTGTGCGCTCCGTGGACTACGTCGACGAGATGAAACGACAAATCTGGATCAAGGTTCTTGGTGCTGTATCTGGCCAGGATCCCTACTACGCCCACCTAGCGCGAGTAAATTTCGATGGTTCAGATTTCAAGATCTTGACCGAAGGCGACGGCGACCATTCCTGGTCATTCAACGACGACAGATCGACCTTTACAGATACATGGTCTCGCATGGATATGGCCGAGAAGACCGTCACGCGTGACGCCGAGACTGGAAACAAGACCGCCGATGTTTACGAAGGCAATCTTGACTCTCTCCTCTGGCCCATACCCGAGCGCTTTGCAGCCCCAGGCAGGGACAACTCTACCCTGATCTACGGCCTTGTTTTCCGCCCTTACCAAATGGACAACAGCACGAAGTACCCCGTTATCGAGAAGATCTACGCTGGACCACATGACTTCTTTGTACCAAAAGCGTACATGAGCCACGACGAAGCCCATCGGATTGCAAACCAGGGTTTTGTTGTCGTCCTCATCGACGGCATGGGCACCAACTGGCGCTCCAAAGCTTTCCATAACGTATGCCACAAGAATCTCAAAGACGCAGGATTCCCCGATCGGATTGCATGGATGAAGGCGGCCGCTTCAACCCGCCCTTGGATGGATATCAGCCGCGTTGGAGTATATGGAGGTTCCGCTGGCGGTCAGAATGCTATGAGTGCTCTTCTCTTTCATAACGATTTCTACAGCGTCGCTGCAGCAGATTGCGGATGTCATGATAATCGCATGGACAAGTTGTGGTGGAACGAGGCATGGATGGGGTACCCCGTCGACCAGAGCTACGAAGATAGCTCCAATGTTGTGAATGCAGGAAAGCTAAAAGGCAGCCTGCTACTTACTGTTGGCGAGCTGGATACGAACGTCGATCCGGCAAGCACGATGCAGGTTGTCAACGCGCTCACCCAAGCAGACAAAGATTTCGACTCGGTGGTTATTCCGGGAGGCGAGCATGGAGTCGCAACCACGAATTCATATGCGTTGCGAAGGACCAAGGATTTCTTGTACCGGAAGTTGAAGGGCACAGAGCCACCGAAGTCTTGGTTCTAGAGCGAATTTGAGTTCTTGTATATAGACGTACCCCAATGCGATGCAAGATCCTGCGCACGCTGTGAAATGGCCACCAATGGACATCGCGAAGAGGGCGTATGTGGCTTCGCGCCGCTTCTTTATCCTATTTTCGATTTGTCTACGGTTCGCGTGAAGCCATGGCATGCATTGACCATTTTTGACGCGTTTAGGCAGATTACCACGGGTCTGGACTCCCGAATGGTGAATACGCGGTACAGGGGCTATGAAGACGTTGATTGCGCGTGAATGAAGACATGATCTAGCAGCGTGACAAGATTTGCAGTGCACCAACGAGTTTTCCAGCTTCTAGATCGGTAGGAGAACATAGGATTTGGAAAGGATTAATCGCTACCTATGCTCCTGTATGCTCCTGTATACTCCTAGATTGATGAAGTTGGTGATTGCGGCTACGCAGAGTTGCTATCAGTCAATCAGTCAGTTGTCAGTTCATCTTTGCGGTTCAAACTGTCAGTCTGGAGGTAGTGAACTGACCTGATTGACTGCCAAGACATTTTTTAGAATCGCGAACTGAGACT